TGGGCACAAAGCATTGCAACATTGTTAAGGTGTGTTTGGAGCACAAAGCATTGCAACATTGTTAAGGGTGTGGTTTGGGCACAAAGCATTGTAATATTGTCCAGGCGGGTTTGGGGCACAGAGTAATGTAACATTGTCAGTGCGAATTTTAGAAACAAAACCTTTTACAGGTTTCCTGAATTGGTTGGACCATGTCACTGTAGTCCAATCGACTGATGCTCATGATATCAATCACTGGTTGTTTTGTTAAGACTCCACTATCTTCACACCGCTTGTACACAGGTTTGTTGTTGGGGGTGTGGGTGGGGTGGGTGGGGGTGGTGGTGTGGGGTGTTTCAATGCGTCCTGTTTTCTCTGATGTTTATATACCGGTATTACACCCGAACTCCTATCTTATCAGCCCTTGATAAAATTACATGACAACAGACCTACAGGTAAAACGAACCTGGAACAGTCAGTGGTTGTCAAGGTCCGCTAATTCTGGTGAAAACCTTTCCACAAGCCGGACACCCATGCTAGCTGCCCCTCAGTGAAACCCAGTTCTTTTATCATTAGAAACAAACGGCCGATAAACAAACCGTTTTTGTCAAGAACTTTCCTTGGTATAAAAAAACCCCGTGAAGATCCGGGTTAGAATTTATCTTCAGTATCTCGTTCTTGTCGTAAGAGAGGACTAACGGGATCTGGTGGTCAGGCTCACTGACTTGGTTGACACATGTCATCATATCCCGAATTGCGCAGATCGATGTTCATACTGTTGATCACAGGATTGTCTGGTCCAGACTCGATTATTTACAGACCGCCATATAGCTGGAATATAGCTGGAGTCCGGTGTAAAACTAAACTCACTCACTTGTATTAAAACCCTATCCTAGAAGGATTAATGGGGTTTCCGGATAAAAAGGTTTCTTGTGTGTGGAGATACCACGATCCGACCCACGCTCGTATCACTAGGACATCTACATATACCAGCCCTATATACATATACTGGGAATAGCTGGTGCCACACAGTCTACGTAGAGGACTATTCGCCCACCAGAATAGCTATGGTTAAAACGTCCGTACAGCACCGTTGGTCATACCGTGATGAAGGTGTTGACATCCATTATTTGACGCTGACAGGAGAATACCGTCCAATATTGACAGCCAGGCAAAGAGTTCAGAGGAAATATTTACATGTGTAAGTCACTTGACGGATATTTATCATCACGGTTCATGACTTCCGAATACTAATCTTGTCCATGGAACCGACCATTTGAGTGTCTGGTGAGGCTTGAAGTTTTTTAAGATATACAGTTTTCCTGAATTTTCTTGACACTAATGATTTTACCTCAGTTATTCTTAATAAGCAACTAATTTACAAGCTGGATGTTTGCAAAAAATATAAAAACATTTAATCAGTGACTGAAAAAATATTCTTCTCCAATCTCATCTCACCTACCCGCCGTCACGGAGTTTAGTGGTCGGTACCTCAGAAAGGGTATTCATATATATTCCATTTTTACCAATGGCATCGCCTTCAAGGGACATAATCACTGACGATGATCTCGGGGATTGACACGAAAACTGATTTTCGTCATTATACATTAATCTGCATCCGTCAAAGTCTCAACCAGCAGCCGCATGTAAACAGTTCTACATAATTTCCACCATAATGTGATATCGACTGGCGGCAGTTCAAAGGTGGAGACGACCCCTGTCTAATCCTCGTTGAACTGCTGAGCGGACAATACGACCATTATCTTTAGCTGCCAGGGGAAGTATTAGACTCGCGTGTGTCTATTTAAATCCACGTGGGGCATGTTAGCCACGCCCCCGTGTGGTCAGCTGGAGCAGATGGACACCCACAACTGTCCGGCAGATGGTCAAGTATATAAAGTGTCCGCGCCCTGGGTGGCGATGACGTAATGGGCAGTTTCGGTTACATCGCAGATGCTCATTTTTCGTTCCGACGATTTCCCGAAGTTTCCGGGGAATTCGGAATATCTCCGTGGGGAGAATACTTAGTTCTAATGTAACATGTCAGTCGTCGATAAGCAGAGATAACTTTGCCCGGTGAGTTAAGTACCTGTATGAACTGTATGGAGGGAACTGTGGTCAGCATGTGATGGTCAAGCACCAGTCGCCATAATATATATGTATATATAATATATATACCAAAACAACGTCTTTCACACCCAGTGTTAGAGCCATATGACCCGACATCCCACGTACCTTTAGGTAACAGTTAATTCTTAATCATTCTAAAGTTTGTAAATATTTCAGATACCACCGTCATATTGTGAAATGGGGGAACAAGAACATCCCTTTTCCCCAGATACTGAGTTACCTCATCATAGAAAGCAAAAGAAGTGATAGACAAATATTGACTTTTGGCGTAGAACAGACCATGTCCTAATCGATATCAGTCATTTCAAAACAAGGATAAATATATTTTAAAAACTTATCCGTAGCTCGATTCTTAAAAATGTCTTTGAACTAGAAATATATAAGAAGCATTGTCAACCGTTCTTCCAGATACAGGTAGGGTAACAGCAGCTTCAGGTTATTCATTCTTAGTCGCATCATTGATCCGGGTGATATTCAGGTTTTTTTTATAATTGTGCATATATCCTTGTGCTAACTAAATTGTGCTTGCATTTAAACAATTACCCGTGCAAATGCAATGGGACTATGCTACATGCCATCTGTTTAATCTCAATCCTCAACAATACGCTTACGACTGTGTATGTAATATTGTGTGATAAAATACGTCATCCGAACAGTCAACCGTTTTGTCATCTAGTTTTCACAAATCTTAGAACCGCTTCAGATGCCACTTCAGAAACTGTGATATGAACGTGTTATTGTTTTCAGTCAGGATCACGTGTCTTCACCCAAAAGTCATAATTGAGATTGCTTAATGTTTCAGTAACAGTGTCTGATCCACGGTGATGACACAGTGTTTGGATCACATATCTGCCCCTTCAGTGTCCAGTACCATGTACTATGGTGTGGTTGTCGGGTGTATTGCCGTACCATTGGTAAGGTCATATAATAATATAAGTATCAACATATAACTTCTTCAGATTGAAACATACAGTATCTGATAATTGCCAAGTATATCGTCTAATAATTGTCATGTATATCATTGTATAATTGCCATGTATATCATTGTATAATTGTCATGTATATCATTGTATAACTGTCATGTATATCATTGTATAATTGTCATGTATATCATTGTATAATTGTCATGTATATCATTGTATAATTGTCATGTATATCATTGTATAATTGTCATGTATATCATTGTATAATTGTCATGTATATCATTGTATAATTGCCATGTATATCATTGTATATTGCCATGTCATGCATAACATGTATCATTGTATAATATAATTGTCATGTATATCATTGTATAATTGTCATGTATATCATTGTATAATTGTCATGTATATCATTGTATATGTCATGTATATCATTGTATAATGTCATGTGTATCATTGTATAATTGTCATGTATATCATTGTATAATTGTCATGTATATCATTGTATAATTGCCATGTATATCATTGTATAATTGTCATGTATATAATTGCATAATTGTCATGCACATCGTCTAATAATTGTCATGTATATCATTGTATAATTGTCATGTATATCATTGTATAATTGCCATGTATATCATTGTATAATTGCCATGTATATCATTGTATAATTGTCATGTATATCATTGTATAATTGCCATGTATATCATTGTATAGTTGTCATGCACGTCGTCTACTAATTGTTATGTGTATCATCTAAGAATTGCCTTGTATATCACCTGAGAATTACTATCTGTATCAGCTACTAATTACAATGTATATCATCTGAGAACAGCAATGTATATCATCTGAAAATTGTCATGTTTATCATCTCATAATTATATTAAGTATATCATCTGTTTGTGGTGGTTATTATGTAAGGACTGTCATGTATATCATTATATAATTGTCAGATGTAAAATTCATATGTATGTGTATCATCTTGGGTTGTAGTTTCCCTGTCTGGGGGTGATGTACATCTTCTGATAATACTCATGAATATACTACCCATCAAATGTTTAGACTCACTAGTGTAAATGTAGCCACTTACTTAAGTCAACTCTTCTAAACTAGATTTTGCAAAATGTTCCATACTGTTTAAAGGTACTGTTGACACATTTGTAACGTTGAAAAGATTATTGTCATGGGTTAAAGGTGAAACTGAGTGTTGGCGAATTTTTAACTACGTTTTACACCACAACACAGCTGTTCACATGCACGATTTTTGCACATGCTTTTTAGCAATTTAACCGATGTAACCACACATATATGCATAACATATAGTGAGTGCTTTAAGTGAGTCTAAACTTTTGATGGGTAGTTTATTATTTGTTAATATGCTTAATATATTCTCATAGTTGGCATGTATATCATCCTAGAAATTGACATGTATGTCATCTTATAATTGGCATGTATATCTTGACATAGCGTGCATGTATATCATCCAATATTGATATAAATGAATTAAATTAAAGCTGTGTATATCATCGTTCGATTCTCACGTATATCATGTCAATCCAGCCATTTGAAACTTGGCATTGTGTTAGTATCGGAACCGACTTGGTGAGTCCCTTAAAGACAACGGGACACGTAGACAATCATGTCCCGCTATAAGCTAACAACTCTTTGGGCTCAAATCGTCATTGTCTGTACACCGCCGAGGGTTGGGTGTCTATCGTTAACACGATAGAGATGGACATATTTTCTCAGACCTTTTTCATCTCCTTGTTCTGTGTCAACGTGTTACACTGCAGACTCTCGAGTGAGATATTAGTCTGCATCTGGACCTTATACTTCCCGGAGACCATTCTCCATCTTCTTGTCTCCAAACACAAGCTCAGGACCGGCAACTACCACTGGAAACCCTCCCCCAGGCTCTCGCCCTGCTGGGTCCCAGGTTGTTCTGAACAAACACGTAAATAAAACCAATTGGTGTGGAATTTCATTTTATTTGTTTGGGATTATACTGTTGGGCCTGATGCGGCCCTCGCTGCGGTAACGCTCGACAGTCGGAGCTCCACAGCAAGTGGTCGTCGTATTCACATTGAAAATTTGGAGGATTCGTTTGGAAATTATAGTTTACGAAAATTGTTATGGGTGAAAATCCTTTCGTATGAGCTGATATTTCTGCAGTGTGTTTTCTCCATAATACTGGGAACACCATGCCTATTGTGAATAAATCGTCAAAGGATGCTTTTGATATCAGTTGAAAAAGTAAAATTCTGAAAATAAATAACACTTTTGATGAATACGATTGTCAACTGATTTTGGTAATGGTCTTGTTATTAAAGTTATTAAATAATAAACAAGGATGTGACATCGTTGGTCTGTATAATATCCAGAAATGTAATAGCTTGTGAAAATCGTTTGCAGTAGTGATTCCGTACTTTTGGAAGGAGTTCGTAAATATATTAAAGAACCCTTCACATCTGGTACCCATAATTTAGACAGTTTATTTTTTGGTGCTAATACGGGGCGAGAAAACACCGCACACACAAAGCTCATACGGGACTTTGCACCAAGTACCTGAGGTGAAACATATCCATGGTAAGACATTGGAGCACTACATTGTGACGATGATAAAACAGAGAACATTGAACACGAGGGGGCCACCATATTGAATTGGAAACATACGAAGTCAATCACCCTGTTAAACCGTTGTTTCGTACGTTGAGTACAGCTATTTCAGACATTATGTCGCATGATAATACGGGAAGCTATGATTCCAAAAGCGATTGTTTTGTGTGTTTTCTGACGATGATGCTCGTAATGGGTTTTGTAGGTTGTCGTTTGAATGGGAATTATAACGGTTGGTAAAGGTTCCCTCCGAAAATAAACAGTAATTCCAGCCGAGCGATTCATAACGTTATTGTCGCGTTGAGGCCGCTGAATAAAGCCCTCTTTAATTTAATATGCAAGACTGCTTAGAGTTGATGTGATTTCCTCCCTTGCAACGGTCCCTACACAAGTGCGCCAGGTAAACACGACACACAATTCCGATATGTTTGGTATTTGAGCGAATATCAAATCTCAGCCAGCATTGAACAACAGAGGAAGAATTAAAAGCTCTCAGTTGCCGCCGAGGTATTAAATCGCTAACGGATTATCCATTAAAATTTCATTCCTCGTCGCGGGAAGCAAGTTTACCTTTGTAATAGCTCTCCCCTTGAGACCAGGCAGCTTTGGAATCTCGTGCGTGTATGCGTCACGTGACTGTCCTCAGAGACCTTCCATTTTATTTCAAAACCTAAAGCATGTTTACACAGAAAATGGACCCGAGACTAACTCAGTTTAGGTTTCAAAGCCAAATTGTTCCAACCATTCTGTAAACCTTTCTATGGGACATTTATGGCGGTAGATTGACATAGCTCCCTCCCGTTTGTTTCAAACGAATACGGACTAGAAAGGGACGGAGGGCACAGCGGACGAGCAGGGACATTGTTGCGAGCTTCAAACGTTTAGTCGCGAAGAGGGGAGATAATTGAAGTCAAATGAGATAAAACATTGTACATGTACGGCCTTTATGCCATCAACTGCAGTCAACATGAGGCTTAGAAGGGTGAGTAGCTACGTGGTCTGCGCAGACACTTCGTACGCAGTCCGGGTACGTGCACTCCTTGACCCCGGTAGTTATTCGAGCCACGCGCTTTGGTAAACAGTTTTAGGACTGTGTTAAGCTCAAACGAGCGACTGAAGTTTTCCAGCATAAATTAGGGACTTCTTTACATCTAGGGTACAGCTACGGGTGGTGGGGTCTTACGAAGTTCATCTTTAATATACCTCCCACACTGCGAGGAATAATGGCGGACACTGAACAAAATACATACAGGACAGACACTATGCTTGTCACGAAAAATGACGAATTATGTACAGATTTAAATTATGCTTCAATATTATGTAAAATCATCATCTGTTTTACCAAATGTACATTTAGTCCGGATGTCTCGAAGGTCGAGCTACACAGTGTCCATGGCACATAAGTCGAAGCCTTCCCTCGAGTTGTCCTTGATCCTTGATGCACGAGACATGTTGATTGAGTGAAATGTGTTGTGCTTTCTCGCACACTTGTTGTTGTCCAGTTGCTTTTCCCAGAATTCAGTTTACAGGAAGTTGCGTCATCCAACTGCCCGTATGGGGACAGCCATTAATCACAATTCAACACACAAGTCATGTCTTGACGCGTCACAGTGAACTCTGACACTTTCTGGTAGTCGTGTACAATGCTTGTACTTTAAGGTATGACCCGTGATGTGTTTGCGCATCTTCACTGCGCACGGCCCGATTCACTGTCACCACGCTTCGGACATTTCCGGGTGGTGATGACTGAGGGACTGGGACAGAGACTGGCTGAAAGGAGTCCCGGGAATTGAGCGCGGAATAAACGAACCATCATGTCCGTGAAGCGGCATCGGCTCGGGGGTTGACGCTGGCGGAAGGATATCTCCAGGTAGAAACTGACCTTCCTGGCCTAACCCTGAAAATAAACAAAATCCTCGTTACAAACTATTCACACATTTCACCTAAAAAAAATATACAAAATCTCATGTCAAATCACATATATAAGAGGGGCGGTGGGGTGGTCTAGTGGTTAAAACGTTCGCTCCTCACGCCGAAGACCCGGGTTCGATTCCCCACATGGATACAATGTGTGAAGCCCATTTCTGGTGTTCCCTCCCTCACTCACTCACTCACTCAGATTAACAAACAGTTCCGACTGGCTTCAAAGCTTCACATTCCAAATTTGGTAATGCCTAATTTGGACATGCATCACCAGATAAGAGTGGTGATAAATGCCTGTTGATCGGTATCACTGCTTGACAACTATTTGCGTTGATGAGACGGGCATGTACTGTTATCGGCGTCGGGTTTACAACATCCCAACACAAACGTGACATTCAAACACAAACGTCCAAAGATTTATAGTGCATCGTCCATCCTTAACAAACTAAGAATGTCCAGAAATTCAAGTGTTTTAACGGTTTGATAATATCAGCAAGAAAACACAAAGTAAATATTCGACAGTGTCGTTAAAGGAACCTATTAAGGTTTGTTTGGGTCGTTTGTTTATCATCATTTCACTTCAAAAATCTAAGAGCTGTCAGCACGCATCGGAGAGACGTGGGCAAAATGCTAGTATTGTCCTGACGATAAATTCCGGTGACAGTTTGGGCGTCATATAAACCATCAGCTGGAGATTGTTGGGAGTTTACAATCCTAAAGCACTTTGGGAACGCAGCGTAGACAGTTGAAACAACCTACGAAGTGGTCGTTTTTTGTACCAACGGAATGCAATGGTGACTTTCAGCGATAAGATCTTTGCTAGCGTCTTGGAAACCCCCTTTTCTGCACGCTGTGGCCATATGCGTCTAATTAGGCAACGATAAACCGTCCTGGGGAAATCAAAGGGTTGCGATTTAGTCAAAGAAAGGCCAAGTCACAACAAATCTAGTACCGCTTTGTTGAATATTTCGCTTCTTGGTGCACGAGGAGGTATATCTAACACATGCCTTGGGATTCTGGGTTGTCAGAACACAAAAACGGTCTGCGGAGAAGATCGTAAAAAGCATTTATGACATGGAATGCATGGATTTGGATAAAGATGCGGTTAAAGTATTGAGAACTTCCGCGCACGCTGCCTTCAAGGCACACGCACGGGCTCAAACGGGCATTCATCAAGTTTAAAGCCGGTATCTAGATGCATAGCGTGAAGAACACGTACATTGGTGAAAAGTTTGGCTGATTCTCATGTTAAACATTCTCTTTCCTGGCATTTTATGGACCTTCCGAGACACAGGAGACAAACAATGGCCCTCTTGAAGCCTGCTAGAACGAGACACTCTCTGCCTCTTTTGACATAAATGGCCAGTGTATAGCAATAAAACTCCGCCACTGGGTTTCAAACGAGATGGAACGATATGAGTGCAGCTGAAAGAACAGGAGGGCGATTTAGGAAATCGGGAAGTTGGGGCAAGCCTAAGGAAAGTACCTCATCTCCAGACATGAGGGTTTAAGGTTCCGGAAATACACTTTTGGATCTATCTATCGGCATGGGTTTCAGATACAAATGGAAACAGTTAAATGTTCCTTTGCAAAATGAAAATGAGCGGTGCCACCAAAGCCCTTTGTCCATGTTGGCATATAAGCTGAATTTCTAAGCCCCAGCTCTACCTAATATTGAGAACCTTGAATACAGATCGACCGATTAATATTACACCTAATCAAAATACCAGTTGAAAGTCGGAACGGTTACGAAGCCGAAACGGTTACTAAGTTTGAGAAATTAGAATACGTATCGACTGCGCGCGGTTACTATTCCTCCTAATCCCCATTGCAAATGATGGACGGGTTTTTTTTAACTGCAAGCGTTCTTGAAAGCGCATTCAATCTTGCTTCACTGCGTGTAAACATACGTAAAGTACATTATAGCCTCCCCCTGACTCGATGGGTGAGGAAACACCACCCATGTCGGAAATGGGGAGGAAGAGGAGACAAAATACGTTGATGAGTGAAACATATCCACGTGACAATCAAACATAGTTGTTAGGAATACTGTCTGTCAGCTAGGATTGAACGAACGTGGGGAGGATTGTGGATGAAAGTTGGGCATACCCTCTGCTGACAAAGGTAGGCGATGCGGTAACAGCTGCATGTGTTGGGCGGATGTCACTGCAGTCGTAGTTAAGTAGCAGTCGGTGTGGGCATAAAGAAAGACTGTTACAGTTGGTGTTGTAACAGGCGTGATGGCGAGGACGATGTGCGGATGGAGAGGGGGTTGGGGAGAAAGTTTATAGAATCTCGAGCTACCTTCTGGACGTAATCAATTAAATATCAGGATTGATTAATGTACCCCGAATGTTGAATATTTATACATCAGGAGAAGTATTACTGGTAGGAGTAGGAGTAGGAGTAGGAGTAGCAGTAGAAGTAGAGTAGTAGTAGTAGTAGTAGTAGTAGTAGTAGTAGTAGTAGTAGAAGTAGTAGTAGTAGTAGTAGTAGTAGTAGTAGTAGTAGTAGTAGTAGTAGTAGTCGTAGTAGTAGTAGTAGCAGCGTCAGCTGTTGTGGTAGTTGAAGTAATAGTAGTGGTAGTTGTTGTTGTCTGTTGTAGCAGTCGTACTAACAGAAAATAAACTATTAAGTAACTTTAGGTTTGTCCATGCGACACGTACAAATCCAAGTAGTGTTTTCAGCGTTCGACGTCCGTGAGACAGAGCAGTTGTAGTACAAGTAGTAGTAGTCGTGACAACAACCAGAGTGACACGTAGTAGCGGTTACAGTCGATGTAGTTGTTGACATAATACAATGGCCGAAAGTAGTCTTCTCGCATGCCAACAATCCTGAATGGCAGATTGAATGATCACGGGTGTGAATGGCCGGAAGTGCGTCGTGAAGTGTCCCAGATAACGCCAAGCGTGACGGAACTATTTTCAAAGAAGACGTGACAAAGTTTGCACAACAAATGGCAGAGGGGCAACCATGGAGCCGCCTTGACCCCATCCCGGAAGTGAGTCCGGGTCTGGTATCCGTGAAGATCGATCGTCAAACACGTGCTCGGGGGGAACAAAGACGGAGATAGCAACCATTTGAAGCTAAAATGTCGCTGGCAGCCGCCAAGTGCGAGAAATTATTCTCCCTCACGGCCCAGCAAAGCCAGAGTGTTTGGAGTGTTAATTAGACAGTTGAGAATACTTTTCGAATTATCATATGTCTATTTGACTATGGACAGCGTATGTGCCAGAACATGGCCGTCCTCATCTACAAAACTGCATTTCCGATATGTTGAGAAAAATACACCACGACGACCTCGACGGGGATGTCGTTCCTTCGTTGTGACAAATCTAAATCTTCCGTTGTTGGGGCGAGGCAATGTTAGCGATGACGTCATTGGTCTTGTTTGAAGGACAATGTCCTGTTCATTGGGGTGTAAGAACAAGGTGGCGGTGTTAATATGCATTATCTGTCAAATTGTTTGCCTTATGCAGAAGCAGGAGCGACCACCAGGATACATTGATACAAGCACGTGTCCCTGCCTTCAATGTCTAAAAGTATATTTAATACTGTGATTTTTAATTCCATGCAACTGAGATTATTTAAATTGAAACATTTTTTTATCAACGGCCATTTAAAAAATACTTTCTATTGAGTGTCTGAAAATAGCTGACTCCGCATGTTCAGTTTTGGAAAATATACCTTTTAAGGATAAAGCAGTTTATTGTTCTTGTTAAACATAACCAATGGCGTTTCTATTTCTGAATTCATTCACAGAACGTGGCAGGTATGTTGGCGTTTATGGATATAAATTTGTGAAAATGGACAGATGGTACCGAAATGACTGATTGACAAGTCGTTCTCCGCGGCATGAGCTTGCTCCACAACATCGTGAATGAAGGCGGGTTTGTTCCTTGCTTCAAGAACGACCTCATCGAACTGAACTGGAAGATATATGTTTATGGGGCACTAAGCCTAGGGTTATTTATTGCATAATTTACGGTGGACGCGGATCTTTTAAGATTTATCAGGAGGTCTGAACCCATCCTGGAGGTCATGGAAGGCAATCAGCTGTCCAGCGACCCCCACGGTCGGGAACCCATTCCGTTAGGTACATTCAATACATACAAACAGATGCTCCTGCAAAACACTGAGTATGGAAATATTCACACAATGTTGTTCTCTTTACGAAATTAATTGATTTCCTTCGTTGCCACCAGAGGTCGCTTCACCTACTGTGAAGAGGGCGGCCGATAGGGGGCTATGAGCGACAGACACAAGTGCAGAACATTCGCGGAATGGTGCGGGCGCCGAAACGAATTTAAAGTCCGTATCGTGGGTGTATGTTTCTCTGAGCCGTGCGCGCTCTTGGCATGCACGTGCGCAAGTGTCTTACATTTACGCATCTCGTACGCACCCTTTTAAGTTGGCGAAAACACTAAAACGACATTCTGTTTTGAATTATAAGCTGATAAAATCGCACCATGCTCCGTGTTCAGGGGACCGATGGCTTTTTGAAGCGGGGTGAAGTAGGGCTAGGTGAGTGAAAGCTTCTCTTCAGCAGATCATGAGAGTCCTTAAACACGACCTCCTATGTCGTGGCTTAATTGAAATGATTATGGTATATGCGTGTTTCGCTATGTTTTCTAATGCTCATAAATCCAAAACAATTTATTTAATTAAGAAAATATTCGCCGTTAGCAAAAATTATTTTTACTTATAAATCTTCAACAGATCACGTGACCATGATCCATGGGTGACCATCCTCGTCGTTAATTAAGCATGAGTCAAGTTTTTCAAGCACCTCTTCTGCAGAAAGTTTTCTTTCTTTTATATTTCCGGGCACATCAAGTCAACGGTCCAAAGAATTCTTTTGCATAATCTTTCGATATTAATCTTTCCTTTCCGGCTAGTGATGTCTTTATTTCATGGGTGGCAAGTGCCGACCCTGAAGACAACCATTGAGTTGAGCCCTTCGACCATAATCGACAGATAATTATAAAAAGCGCCTGTCAAAACACTCTCTCTATACAGCCGGTCCGGAGTCAGCTGGTTGGAGGGACATAATCGATTGAGCGTAATCCCCCGGGCTTTGGGGAGATAACGGCAAGGGGGAAGGGGATACTTGGTGATAGATGATCTCCAAGACTCTACGGATAAATTTCCTATAACTCCTTGGAATGGCGGCATTTGCTCAAGCCCCGTTCTCCCTCGCGGCATATCATAACACTCGATCTATGCAATCATCCTTTGTAATTAAAGGCACGGCTCATATTTGTGAGAGAATGGCCGGTAGCGCGGGGATTCACGATATAAATCAGTGGCAGCTCGAACAGGCTACATACTCGTGCCGTTCACAAACTTCTGTGACTTCCAAGACTAGAGAACTATTGAACTTGTCCTTTTTGGACTTCCTGCGCTGAAGAGCTACACTGGGCCCGAGGCTGTCTCGTTTAGTCTATCACAAATCTCGACCAAGAACGGCATTTCTGGGACTTCTTTATCATAGAAGTAATTAATGACCTAACGAAAAGAAGAATGCTGAGGTTCTGCTGTGAAGGACTTAATTACTATTGAATGTTGAAGACGGAAGCAAGGGCACAATGGTTCCATGTCACCAGTAGGAGATCTCTGTCCATATGTTCCACTCATGGAGTGATGGAGAGAGTCTACCGCTATCGTGTCCTTAACATTTGTAATAGTGTTTGTAAACCCAGCGATAGCTTGCATAATAATTGTCAAGTACCGCTGCGCGTCTTATAGGATTGCGCAAGTTGTATCAGCATCTCGATGATTGACTAATTATTTTCCTGGTCAGCGATTCTTAACAAGTTACTATCACTGACTTGTGTTACCAAACAATGTTAATTACAACCAGCCCGTCGGGGTGCCCACAGCACCGAGGGGGCGATGTAGCCGAGGTTGACAGGCCGTGGTAGTTAGTGAAGCGTTATTGATTTAAACAAAGACCATTCATTGTATTGATACAGAACTACAAGTACAAGGTGTTAGTTGAAATAATACGCTTTGTTCTCACATGAGTTATGAGTAAGTGAATGAGTGAGTGATTTTTGGTTTTATACCAGCAATATCAGGACGGGGACATCAGACATAAGCTTTATGCATATATGGGGAATCGAGAGGGGAGAAGGCTTTCGCTTGTCCGAACTGCCATAAGAATACAGAAAGTAAAAGACATGTTTTAGTGAGCGCGCAAAACCTTGGGAGATCAGTTAACTTTTTTCAAAATTATTTTTCCATTTTTCAAACAATATTTATTCATTTCCACTTTACCAAAAGAAATGATTAGGCGTAAACATTCTTACGAACGCCGGACCAATCAGGAATAAAAAAATAATAATATTCAAACGTAATTTTAATTTATGTAAGAATAGTTTCAAAAATTATGTATAAAAGTTTTGACAGAGTAGATTATTAAAGAAATGTCAGTGAATCTGTTTCTCGACGGGGTTTGTTTCGTACATGACACGGAACAGGTATGTCAGGATTATCTCCCTTGAACATACCTGGCGGGTGCATTGATGGGTCTAAAGTGAGAGGTGGGGTACCTTGAGAGGGTGGCAGGAAGCCAATGCTGCCGTCTTGACCTTGACCGAGGAAAAACTCGTTGTAACCTTGGTAACCAGGATAAAATTCCTGTCCATTATCTGAAAAGAAAAAGAAGAAACTGTATTTTCTACACATTACCATCTACTCATATTTCTTATTCACATACACAAACGCATTTGACAATATGAATCTCTGCTGACTAGGTACAATATATAGGCTCAAAATGTATACTTGTATATCATTAACAGCCATCGACAAATCAAATATTTTATGTCATTGTGAGACAATTTATGACACCTGATCGTGTCATATTTCCAAGTTCTTGTAATTGAAGGAAATATGTGATAATTTCAGTCTGGTTTTAATGGAATAAATGCAAAACACATTAGTCGTAAATATCATATATCCTAGTTACCATCACACAAAACGATCACAAGACACGCACAGGCGATGGAAATATATTATCAAAAATCATAGAAATATGTTTTATGAGAGCTTATTAATTTCAATTTACAATTCAATACTAATAGATACCAGATTCGCAAAACTGTGAAAACAGTCGGGAGAATTTATTATCAGGGCGCAAAATACATTGACAATGAAATCCGATGATCTAGTAGGAAGCACAGAACCGATAGAATGACGAGATACGAGTTGAGCGGGCAGCATGTTACCACGTCCTCCTCACCTTGTCGGAGATACACGACACAGATGTACGACCCTTTACTGCAACCATCAAACTATCTCGCGCAGATGGATGCTTGAAATTCAACATGATTTGAACTGGATTTATATACGTTGTTTTTGTTAGTCATGTCAGTTTTGTGAACATCTACTCCGTGGTGTTAACGATACGACAGCTTCACTGCCGAGCTATGTGTGTATCCAGACACATGTGCTGGTGTATGTTTAATGTGTATGTATGTAACACATATATCTATCACCTCCTAGGTGAGTTCATGCATGAATGTATTTAATATCTAGCTAGGTGCTTAGGCTTAGTACAATAGGTGTGTATTTGTAGGCTATTGAATAAATTAATTCAGGTATGGCTTTATATCCTATACGGTACTTGGACACATGGAGTCATAAAATTATTATAACATATATACACAATATTGCGCATTATTATTATTGTTAATAGAAGTAGTATATATACTTATTATTATTCTTGTTGTTGGTACTGTTAATTGCTTAATCCGACGATATACATCTCACATTTACTTTAACACTATACAGTACACACTCCTTACTCCGGACAGTGTCGGCTGAGACCGTCCCGATTAACGACGAGTCCTGACTAACCACTGTGTGTTGCACTAACGTTTCAGTTTCAAAAGGTGCCCGGATTAACAGTGTTCGGACTAACAGTGACAATTACGGTAACAGGGTTGCCACAAACATGATTTTCCTATTTCTAGAATCCCAATATATTTTCTGAAACACGTCATTTCCAAACTTCTAATATATCCATTACAAAGCCTGACTATACCTGTTCCCCTTATGACAAATGCAAATCTATTCACTCACATTAATGAACTCAGAAACAATTACTCCTTTATTCATTGGCTTTACAATCACATCGGCTCACCCGCCAACTATTAAGTGACGCACAAGCGATGGAGGGACCTAGTGCATGTTTCGTTTCATAGATTCATCTTGTTTCCCACCGGTGACCTTGTTAGGTCTATTCCTGTGGGTAGTTCCGGAACTAATAATGTGTTTATATGAGTGATTTTCTATAACTCTCCCCAACATGTGTTGCAGATAAAGCGACATGTATTGACATACAGCCAACCTACAAAAGACACCACCCCATAGCCTAACGTGACGAATCAGGCTATTATCCCAAGTTATTGTCGATACATTTGTCTTTGGTTATTCATGTACAAATTCATATTTTGATCACAGCTTGCGTATGTCATTTAGAATGAAATTTATCCATCCGTATACGAGCTATTACATTTTTGCCACTAGATATTTTATTAACAGCTTTCAAATAAAAATCAACTGCAGTTATATGTGATAAATTCGATAATATCATTGAGAAAAATATTTTTCAACGCGAGGTGTTTCAGTGCTGTCTGCATTACCGGTTACTGTTATACATGAACGTTTAACGGGTCGAACTTTGACCATTTTGGATAGGATATGATTCGATAAGTCCCTGCTTCCAATGTTACTTAATTATGACATAAAATATTTCTTGTATGTTCTGAAGACGTGTACAAATTCTGGATTAGTTTTAGAAACAATGTTGCAAAATCAGATTTTGTTGCATTTGTTTGTTTTGTTGCATAAAAAATGCGACTCGCTTTTATTTACATTATTTACTTTCAATGGGGATTGCTTGAGCGGGATCAGTACAGGTAATTAAGAGTTGGGATGGACGAGGGATGGTTTCTCGGACACAAATATGTACCCAAAACATTAGTTCGGATTGGGTGGGTAGAAACAAATGGGTGGGTGTGGTAATCGCTCTGTCTCGAAAGTAAAGGTGTTCTACTGGGAGTGTAAAGGGTATGATTCTGTCTGTGGAGTAGAACGTGTACTACCGCTGGGTGGGGTGAGATCTACCTGTCCCAGTGGGTAAGCGTGTACTACCAAAGGAGGGAGGTTATGGGTGGTCTGGGTGGGGCGTGACCTATCACGTGAGGGTGGTCGCCTTGCTAGGGTGGGGATGCGGGTGGTGGGGATGACAGCCTGACAAGTCTGCCTTATCGTCTAGCTGACACTCTGTCGGGTGTAAGACTAAAATAGGAAACTGTTGAAAGACGGAGAATGATAACAATCTCGCTGTAGCCGCGCGCTCTTGTAGGTGACATCGCCACGACATATCAAGGAAATCACAACCGATTCAGCGCGATGTAGAATAATAAGCCTTTTATTGTACTAATACTTTTTTCGAGATGAACTGATACCAATGATGCGTCAAATCTGAATGTTCAATTGCGACCGACCCGCGTGTCTGGAGGCTGTCTCGGGTGGCGGATCAGATGGTCGTGTTCGGTTGGATGGCTTGGTTCAACCTTTTTAATGACGATGGAGAGGTATAGTTTGACGAGTAAATTGGTGGCACGTAGAAAACATATGGACAAAATCACGTTCAACCTGTCTATTTATATTACAGAAATTCGACCTACAATTCAGCAGAAATATAATTAATCCTTAAAGTTCTGACCTACTTAACATAATTATATCAACCAGTGAATCTCACGAAGGCACTGACGACATAGGAAACATCGATTTTTGAACAGAAAATATGTTTGACACTGAAAGCAATTTTGACACATGTTGCAAGATCGATCAGTAGGTACGAATCACGATGTAGAAGGCTTGGTACAATGCCCGAGTGCTCCCAATGGGGACATGGTGACATTCTAGCCGAGAAACACAACATGCGCCGTGTTCGCGCCACCATAAACAACCTCACAGACCAGCGTCGTCTCTAGTAATTTATTCACATGGGCGGAGCTACGCGGCGATAGCCTCACAGTATCTACATCTGTGTACAACGCACTCCTACGGGGGTCAGAATACTGGAGAGTGGAGGTTAGATTACATCCAGCTCTCGCATTACAGGGGAATGTCATTCAGCGGTTTACAAGAAACACATCATCACACTTTGTAACAAGGCATGCACTTTCTTCATATAAATAATGTTTTGATTCTTTGTCAATAGATTGAACGACCCGAGCATTAGAAAGTGAAATAGCTGTAACTACATACACTCAAGGGAGAGGAGAAGATCCAACGCACACAGATTGAATAACCGAGTTATAATATCGGCTCATAAAGCATGCGTTTTGAGTGGATTTGGTGTACTATTTTTACCTTCTTCATTTTTATCATTATTATGAATTTGAAACTAGAGTGATTGACATTTTGTTTGCATATACAACGGGGTCGTGTGTTTCAATGAATGAATATTGGTATTACTTCTCACGAAACAAAGAAACCGGGCTATGTACGATCGTGCGTGGATAAACTCTCGTACTAATTGTAAAACTTATCACATATGGAAGCTTGAAAAGTAACGCCGAATATCGCGAGATTTCACGCGACCTTCCGCCCAACGTTGGCGAGTTCGCCTTTCATGTGCCTTCACTATGCCTATATCTAATCTGGGGATTGTCGTCAAAGCACAGTTGTCTATGATTTATTATCTATAATTTAGGTCTAGGTAAGCCATATTTTTTTGGCCCCCGCTGTCAGATGTGGAATCATGGACAGATGTTCTCCTCACCGCGCAATAATACGGCGATTTGGGGGCCATTGAAAGCGGCATGCGTACGTAATTCTAACCCGTATCAACATTCAGCTTGACGAGGGCGATACTATAGGAATATTATCACAAACTGCTTGACAGTAATGTGTCTATCATGTTAATTCTTGACAGACGAATTTGCTATTTTTTCTTAACAAAAATGCCCTTTTTGAAATTTATGCTACATTAGCACTTAGCTCATACATAATACATAAATGGTGTCCTGCCAAATGGTCTTTAACAAGAGACAGCTCCGTGTCTTTTGTCGAACGTCATTCGAGTGTACGCATCACAATGAACAGCGAGGAATACGTCGATATGCTGGAAAGTAAGAATATACGGGTGTTCTATAATATCATATAATATTATAAACTAATTCTTTCATATCATAAACCTATTCTTTATCATAATATTTTTCACTTCCAAATCCACGATGTCAACGTTTTATTATCAGTTTTCGTAATATTTTATACTATTCACGAATCCATGTTTTATACAAATCTATATGACGAGTCATTTCGTAAGCTTTTCCCATCTCATTTTCACACCCTCTCTCTAGCGCCCCCTAGTGTTTCGATGACAAACCAAAGACCACTCTACGGTAACTTTCATCGTTTCAGTCAGCGCTGATAAGCACTTATCGCTGACGTTATCACGTGGCGATGAGTTGCTTGTCAGCTAACAGAGGTTGTTGGGTTCAGTACCAAAAGCAGGTAATCTGAAATACTGCTCCTCCTAGCAGCAGAATGCACGCAATCGGACATAAAAACATATACAATTTGTATCGTTTTTATCCATCAAATGACGAATATACTGTCATAACTCATAACC